TACGTGAGTGCGAAGAGCTTAAAATGCTGGCCGACAGGAAGAATGCCCGAAAATTTTACCAGAGAGTTGCCTATACGCCGCTGTCTGAATTTGGCATCCCCTCAAAACTCATACGGCTGTGTAAAATGACGTTGAGTAATACCACCAGCTCCGTCAGAATTAGGAAAGACCTCTCCCAGCCGTTCGCCACAAAACGGGGTTTCAGACAGGGCGACTCCCTTTCATGTGACTTCTTTAATCTGATGTTGGAGAAGATAATAAGAGCTGCAGAGCTGAACCGCTCAGGAACAATTTACTACAAGAGCGTGTAATTGCTGGCTTATGCCGATGACAGCGACATCATCGGTAATAAAAACCGCGAAGAGTATTCTGCCTTTTCCAAGTAGGATAGGGAAGCAAAGCGAATAGGTCTGGTGGTAAACGAGGACAAGACGAAGTATCTCCTGTCATCAAACAAACAGTCAGCACATTCGCGCCTTGGCCCCCACGTAACTGTTGACAGTTACAATTTCGAGAAAGTAGAGAATTTCGTTTACTTGGGAACCAGCATTAACACCGATAATTGTGTCAGCATTGAAATCCAACGCAGAATCACTCTTGCCAACAAGTGCTACTTTGGACTGAGTAGGCAATTCAGGAGTAAAGTCCTCTCTCGACGTACGAAAACCACGCTCTTTAAGTCACTCATCATGCCCGTGATGGTATATGGCGCAGAAGCATGGACAATGACAACATCCGATGAGGCGGCTCTTGGAGTGTTTGAGAGAAAGGTTTTTCGGAAGATTTGCGGGCCTTTACACGTTGGCGACGGCGATTACCGCAGACGATGGAATGATGAGCTGTATGAGCTTTGCAACGATATGGACATAGTGCAGCGAATTACAAAACAGCGGCTCCTGTGGCTTGGTCATGTCGTTCGAATGGACACCGACGCTCCAGCTCTGAAAGTTTTCAACTCGGAACCCGCTGGTGGTAGCAGAGGAAGAGGGAGGCCCCCACTGCGATGGAAAGATCAGGTGGAGGACTTTGCTTCACTTGGCGTTTCCAATTGGCGTCAGTTGGCACAGAGGAGAAACGACGGGCGTGCTTTGCTGAACTCGGCCAAAATCGCTTAGGCGGTTACAGCGCCGCAAAAGAAGAAGAGTTTGGAAAATAAAAATAAAAAAATAAAAATTTGGCCTTTGATAACCCATTAAAAAAGGAAATTTCTTACTTTAAAAATTTGGTGGCAACCCTATTTGGAAATACGCTGGGATGAAGAGTACATACGTATATTGAGCGTATTCAAAAAAATGCTTTTTGAAATTAACAAAGTACATTTTTGTATTAAAAATACATGCAATCCTCACCGCAAATATTTTCGGACTAATGTTATCAAAAATAACTTTCATTTTATACCCATATTGCGGCGTTTTAGTTAAATTTTGTAGAATCGAAAATAAGTGCCAATTAGTATATACTAAGCAAATCAGGGAAAAAATTTGTTATACCAAAATGAGTCGCAGCACTAAGAAGTCAGTCGAATGATTTACGTGATTTTAGTCTTTTATAGTAACAAAAAATGTACAAACGGCAGCGGAACGACGAGAATGCGACAGAACGCAAAATCACACTAACACCCCTCCAGTATTGCTGGGGTCAATCGCTACTTTTGAACCGCTACTGCACCGACTCCTAGGTAAGTAGCTACTCTATTAACCCGTGGTAGTGCACATGGTAGTGCAGAGCCGAACCAATCGTAAGCAGAATAGCGAAAAACTACGACAGAGGGCGCCCATAAATTACGCAAGTGGCTACTTTAGTAACTCCCGGTAGTAGAGAGAGTTAATGGTGACTACCGCCTAGGACATTGCCTTGTAAAAGTAATCGATGAATACACTGCAAGTAGTCGGTCAGTAATTGACGGAGTTTATCACGTAGCTACCGATTTAGCAGCCCTGTAGTCGCTCCCCCGTACTGCAGGGGCTGGAGTCAATCGCTACTTTTGAACCGCTACTGCACCGACTCCAAGGTAAGTAGCTTCTCTATTAACCCGTGGCAGTGCACATGGTAGTGCAGAGTCGAACCAGTCATAAGTAGAATAGCGAAAAACTACGACAGAGGGCGCCCATAAATCACGCAAGTGACTACTTTAGTAACTCCCGGTAGTGCAAAGAGAGCCGATGGTGACTACCGCCTAGGACATTGCCTTGTAAAAGTAATCGATGAAATACACTACGTACCTAGCTACCGATTCAGCAGTCCTGTAGTCACTCCCCCGTACTGCAAGGATGTTTATGGTAGCGACCGTATGTGACACAAAGCAGAACATAATTAATATTCAACTTATTCAAGAAGCACCAATAGTTCAGTGCAATGATTTAAGTCTTTAACTCGAACAAATAAGTAAAACCCAGCTGGTAGACTATACTATATACAGACAAAAATTGCCGGCACAAATAAGGTTAAGTATATTTTGAGTGTGTTCTTGTTTTGGTGGAATTATTCATAGCAGTTTTTGGAATTAGTATGAGTACTCATTTGCACCAATTGTTATGGATCATGAATAAGTACACCAATATTATTATTACTCAAAGCCGGTCTCTGATGGAAATTTAACAGCTCTGTATACTACATACATCCTGCTCGTTATGATTGAATCACTTAATGGAACAAGTAGTCCCACCACTCTAGGTATAGAATTCATTGTAAATGAAGCATTAATTTATTCTTACCTTCGATGTTCATTACGGGATCCTTTGAATCCTCCGGTTCTTTTAATTTGCGCTTTTTGATTGTAATTAGATTTTCATTAACTACAATATCTCCGGATTTTTTCGGACCACTATCATCTGAGGGCGTTTTTAATTCCGTAGGTTCATTCGAAATAATTTTCATTACTTCTTCATTTTTGACATCAAATCTGTCAAGAATTTCTGTTTCCATTGCTTCGAAATTATCGACATCAAATTCACGAGCAGTTGTATGCACTATTAAGGCACTGAGATGAACATCACCCCCTTTTTCAAGTTCAGGCGGCTGCGTACAATATTTAATTTTACCACTATTCCAGTCATTAATTACACTTCGAGCTGCTGCAACAACATCTGGCACACCTTTCTTCAAAAATTTTCCTGTAATTAAAAAACAAAAATTTTTATATTAATAAAATCAGTCGCAAATATACACCCTTGTAGTCACCTGATTAAGTTAAGCGACATTTTGACCAGTTTTGGTTATTTCTCTTTTGTCTATTTAATGTTTAGATAACCAGCACCCAGAGCTGGGTCGTAATGATTCCTTTAGGAATTAAATAACTGCCAATTACAGATTACAAGGAATTGTAATTGGAATAAATTACGTGCTAGTAATGTAATTTTTTTCCAATTCTTTGAAAGGAATTGAAAATGTATATGATTTTTTTTTTAATTCCATTACCTGGAATTGCAAGAGTACTTTAGTTTTTTCAATTACTCAAAGAAATTGTAAAAGTAATCGAGAAACTGAAAGTTTATTCACGAATGAACAATGTGGAATTTTTGTTGTGGTCAAAGATTAAAATCGAAAGCACGCATTGGACATCTTCTATGTATATCTATATATATAAAAAAATTTTGTGTTCGTATGTCACGGTCATCAAAACCCGAAACGGCTGAACCGATTTGAATATTTTTTTTTATTATTCGGTATAATACCAGAACCATTGATATCGCAAAAGTTGGGAGGGTTGCCACCTATTTTAAAATTTTTAAACCCAATTATATTAATAAAATTAATTAATTATTACAATATGGGTATCAAGTTAAAGAGGTTTAAGAAAGATAACTGCTGGAAGTACTTTTGACGAGGGTTGCCACCTATTTGAAACTTTAAACTCAGTCAAATTATTAAAAAAAAAAATGAAATATTGGCATGTGGGTGTCAAACTAAAGAGTTTTAAGAAGGCTTACTGCCGAAAATGTGTTTGAGGAGGGTTGCCATCTGTTTGAAAATTTAACTAAATTACATTGATAAAATAAATAAAATATTACAATATGGGTATCAAATTAAAGAGGTTTAAGAAAGATAACAGTTACAAATATTTTTGAGGGGGGCTGCCACCTATTTGGAAATTGTAACTCAGTTAAATTGATAAAGTAAATGAAATGTTGGCACGTGGGTGTCAAACTAAAGAGTTTTAAAAAGGCTTACAGTCTACCATGAACACTTCCAGAAATATGCAATATCAAAAGTTCGGTTTATATGGGAGGTGCCACGCCCCATTCTCCAACCATGTAAATTTTTCTCCATGAGTATGGAATTGGTCTTATATATGTATATATCACCATACCCAGTTCTAGTCCTCTACCACAAATATATGCAGTTTGAAAAATTCGGTTCGTATGGGAGGTGCCACGCCCCCTTTCTATATCGAAACTTTTTTAGCCTATAACCATCCTTGGAAAGTCTGCAGTAGATTCCGAAATTTCAAAAAAATCGGTACGGCCTTTCTCGAGCTTTGCGAACAGAAAAAAACGCCTTTCAAAATATATATTAGTATAGACTAGCCAATAACTGCTTGTTTTGCGGCTTAAAACACTACTACCGATGAAAATCGATGGATAAATAAACAAGTTTGCTAGGGTTAAGTGAAAGTGCAATAATTGTTTGTATGAAATACTAGCAGGAAATAATGTTACCCATACACCATATCGTACATGACCGTATGACCATGTTAAAGTTTGAATTTTTTCATTCGCAATGAAAACTAAAAATGAAAATAACTGGACTAAATGACATTATCTAAAAAAAAAACGATTTTACGTCTTTCGGCGTTTTTTGTGTAATTTTAGCGTCGTTACATTGTTATCATCAAAATTTTGCCATAGCAATGAAATTTGTTTATAAAACTCTTAGGAGGTAGGATCTCCAGTCCCACAGGGTTCGTAATTCAAGTGGACTCTATCCTCATTTGTAACGCGGGATACCAGTAAGAGTACTTCAAAGGCCCCAGAAGGCACGCCATTTTGGGTAGAATTAACTTAGTGTATTTTTATAGATACGCAGGGATTAGTCCAAGAGAACAGCAGTGCCCAAGGCAGCAACATTTATGGGTCTCATCTGCCGCGAAGCGCGTTCGCGGTAGGATCTGGAAAATTTAACCGTTACCCTATAAACTGAACAGCTACAGTTTAAGCTATTCAGTTT